TTTCAGGTTGATTCACATTGGAACGTTCTGAGCCCACGGTTCTTCTCTCCTCACCCAAACTATCTGCTAAAGCAGAGAAATGGTATTTCAAAGCATCAGAGGAGACGGCCATGAAATCAAAGGAGAACCACTATGATCCAGTGCAAACCTGAAGGGTACCGGGATACTGACACGACTTGGTGTTTTGTCTCAGGCATTTGACTAGGCCTGAGCAGAAGCTCAGTTTTAGTTAAAAACAAAGGTCCACATGATCACAATTGTTACAAATACTAACGTTTCATTGCAATTCCTTTCTTCCTTAAAAAAACAAAAAGTAAAGATAATCCACATTCACACAGACCAATCCTTAAAAGTTCTATGGAGAGATTAGTGCAAGACTTTTTTTCTGGTGCATAAATCCTTAAGAAGTATAATATGAATAAAGGATTAGACCAAGGCTTGTGTGGAATCTGTCTTGTTTAAGAGGTGTTTAAGAGGGTGGCTTAATCACAAACAAAAGGTTAACATTAAGTCATGGCAAACAAAAGATTAGCATCAAGACATGAAACAGCTCGTGAAGATCTGTGCACTTACCCATGGACCTCTGTAACTAATGGAGCATGTGTGTGACTACAAAACAGTCTGTGCTCGTAACACTGAGGGCAGCATCCTTGTAGAAAACCTGTGTATTTGTTAGCGTGCAAAATGCTGAGGTTAGACATCCTTTGTACACTGCTCGTTTATCCTGCTCACTTGTTTCTGTTGCTGGCAAATGTAACCGATCAGCAGAGTGTGGGATGATTAAACATGACTAAAACCCTATACTTGGGTTTTAATCCCAGGAAACCCACTTCAGGTGTTTTCTGATGCCTTTTGCTGCATAGCCCAAAGGTCATATGCAGAATGACGCACAGAAAAACAAACGCTAGCCAAAGAGAAAGCGAAAATTAAAACCCCTGCTAGGTGGAGAATAAAGCAAGAAAGAAAAGCTTTCTGGCACAAACAAAAATTCATGGTCAGTGCTGTTTGAGCTTTACAGGAAACTGCTGCTCAAAATCTGAAGGAGCTATTCAGCTTTTGGTACCACTGAAGGGCCTAAAACTCACTACCCTGAGTGAGTACCAAGATGTGCCAAGAGAGAGAATATTTTAATCCATCAAAATGACTCCAAGAAAAAATGAGGAAGAAGGAGCTTGTTCCTTGTAGGAGGTTTTATGGGATTAAGGACAGCAAGCATCAACTGCATAAAGCTGATTCTTAGAAGTAAAGCCTAAACATGATTCTGCAATGGGCTCACAGAGCTCTCATCTATGCTGTGATTCCCAGGAGTTCCAGAAACCCCAAAACTTCCATGACCATTTTCCTCCCTGAGGTTTAGCTATTTTGTTAAATTGTTGGAGAATTCCAGAAGAGAGAACTAGGAACTGAAAAGAAAAAACAAAATACAGTCTGCTGCCCCAAATGCTCAATGCCAGCTTTGTAACAACGCCCAATGACCGGGAACCAAAAGTCCCAGGTGGGATACAGTTTATCCTATGACCACTTCTAGTCAAGAGATTAGATAGCTGGCCACATAACTCCACCTTCAAATCCTTGAGAAGATCAGACCTCGACCCTTTCTAGTTATTTTAAATCAAAGGCAGATTAAATTGGAATCCTATGGATCCAAGACCCACAGCTTGGACAAGACTCAGAGGATCCTGGAAAACTAGAAATAGATGTCAGGGAAAAGGGCAAGTGAAACGCTCTCAAATCCTTGTTGTCATTAAAGGAGATAGAAGAGAAAAAGAAAATCATTGTTGCTCTTCTATGACTATTGTTACTATTGCAGATTTAATGTCAGAACAACTGAAGCAGAGGAAGATGCATACATCTGAGAATATCCCATTGCTCCTCCACCTTTTCCAAGACATTTCCTGGAATGGGCCACAACCACCACAAGAGTGCTTCAAAATTATCATTGCCCTTCAGTCTCTAAACACCTAACTAAAGTAAGGGGTATCAGGTGCTCTGTAAAAGGGAGGATAACTATCCTCTATCCCAGCCAAGTAATCCACAAATAAATCCACTCCTTTTAGGTTTTTCCCCAAAGCAGGTAAATGTTTAACTCTCGATCTGCTAGATCAAATGAATGGTCTAACACACTCACTGTGCATGGCTGATAAAGAAGCAGTTTGGCTTTACCTGGAACCAGGAGCAGAAGTATTTGCTGACTGGCAGGAAAAATGTTAAGAGGAAACACTTGCCCCAGATAGGCCTGAGAGAAAAAAATCCCCACATCTAGAGAGCAGTCAAGTTCACTGCTATGTCTGCACAAAAACTTTGCAGACTGCAGCCCTGCAAAGCAGTATTCTGCAAAAAGGCCTAAGAACAGGGAGCTGGGGAAAGCAGGAGTGCTTCACGGGAATTACTGAGCTGTGTAAGGACAATGAAACAGAAATGACATGAAAACCATATGAAAAAAACAACCCTATATTATGAAAAACATGAAAACATATTATGAAAAAGGCATACACTGAAAGCTTGCCAAAATCCTAATAAAATACATGTTTGGAGCATTATCCAGACCCAATGTACAAATGATTTTTTAAGATACTCATCCCAACAAACCACTGCATTCCCCATTCCACCATTTCTGTATCTTACATGCAATTACTTGAGCCACAGATGAACAATTTATGGACTGAGGGAGCTGTGAAAGCCAGTAGCAAAACCCAGAACAAAATCTGCATTTAATTAATTATGGTAACCAAATCAGGATACCATAACCATCTCTAAACATAACTCAGATGCAAGAAAAACTTAATCCTCAAATCCACATTATCTACCATTTTTATTCATCATGTCTTTCCCCTGAATGATTTCTCAGTTCATTCCGATACTCTGAAGGGTTTTCTATTTTGGGGACTTATTATCCTCCGGATAAATGCCATCACTCAGAGAAACAAGATGCCACAAACAGCAGCCAAAAAAGATCCTGGCATCTCCCAGACTGCAATGTTGCTAAAAGACACATAATGACAAAGCAGAGGCGGGAACTGCACTGTACTGCCCAGGAAACTGCGTTGTAAATGCTAGGAAAACTTAAGGGTTAGCAGAGAGCAAGACACCTCAGTGTTTGTGTCTACAGTACAGGTGTTTATACGTGGGCTAGATATCTAACAGACCATTTTATTCAGTGGGGCAGGATTTAGTTTCCTATACGAGGCATCATAAAGCTCTGTGTTATAGCCTATATATGTCACACCTGGCCTCCAGCTGCAGGCCTAGAAGCATGTACTGCTCACACACCTGAGGTCTCATCAGTGAGCTCCTCATGTGTGTCCTAGACAGCCTAGGGCCTCTAAAACATCGCTAGAAACCAAGGCTTAGGCAAATCCATCAGTCCCTGGAGATCTACTTAGTCCAGTCAATGGATCCTGAAGGGCTATATAGCTCACCTTAATGCAGACACATAAGGAGAAAGTCAGTTGCCCATCTAGAGCAATTTAGACACCTAAAAGTATCAGAGATAGCTACCAGGAGATAGCAGAGGCCCTAAGGAAATCTCACTTCCTGCTGGGTCTGTTGCTGCACAGAGATGGGGCAGGCCATGCTGTGCCATCTCCAACACACTGGCCATGTCTGGGCATGTTTGGAATGAGGCACCGGCCACAGAGGGATGTGAACTGCTCCGCAGGCTGCACTGGCCAGACTCACTAGTCCTCCGGGACTCAAGGCAGTTGCCCAAACACAGTTACTGCTGTTTAAGACGCAGTTTCTCCTGCGTGATCTCAATCTCTTCCCAGATGATAGTGTGTTTCCTGTACAACCCTTGTCAGGTTGTGGAACTTATGTGGGAGTCTTGTATCTGCGATAACAAGAGATGCTTATGTTTAAGCAAATGGAGTAAGCTTCTAGGAGAATCTAGAGGGATTCAACTAACTGTAGAGACTAGATTTTATTGATTATAGGGCAAAATTAGACGTTTAATACAAATGAACAGAGGTCCACATAAACACCCAGAACTAGGTATTTTAACCTGAATGTGAATCCCACCAGAAGTTTCCTTATGTATGCAGTTACTCCAGGTATAAACACTCCTCTTATCATGACTTTATCCACTTTACAAAAACATCGTTGTTATACCTCGATTCTGACTTTTCCCCTTACTCAAACCTTTTTTTAAGGAAAGACAAACTTTTTAAAAATTATGTATGACCTGTAAGCAGCTACATTTGCCTGAATTTCCTTACACATCCTAAAGCTGGATCAGTCGTGCACAGGTGTCAATCACACCAAATCACATACAGTTTCACAAACATGGCATGAAGGCACATGCTAGGTACCCCTTCTGTAGAGGGTTATCTTATATCACCTTACAAACCACTTCCGTGTTCAATGTAGGCACTGCAGCCAGTAATATATAAAAGGCAGAAAAGTGTAAAAAAAAAATCTCTTTTCATATTTACTAATGTGATTTAATAAATATGTAGTCTTCGAGCTAATATCCATTCTTAAAATTATTGTAACACAGATTTTCAACATATTATTTTGAAAAAGGTAAATACAGGCTGTCAGATTCATGGGCCTGAATTTTATTAGTGGAGATGTACACTGCAGTTATTAAAGGGGCTACAATTTATAACCCTCCCACATGTTCTGCATGGAGTTGGCTATCCCACAAAGAAGATCCTTGTCACACTAGCCCATGAAAAATACTTCATATAACCTTTTTTTCTGTCTCACTGTTTTCTTTTTAAACAGATAAATCTAGTAATGCTACCTTCCCTCACTTCCTGTAAGTACCCAAAATTGTACTCGGTGACCCAGGATTTAGATAACAAGAGATAGCAGCAGCTTTAACCTGAAAGAAAGCCTATTCTTGTTCACTATGTAGAATCAGGCTCTAAGAGAGAACACATACATCAAGCTTAGGCTTTCCATGAACAACTTCTGTTAATAAATTCTTAATAATCTTTATTTCTTAAAAGGCTGGGGCGCTCAGTCACTGCCTATGCTGTGGGTCATGCACAGCATACTTAAACCCAGCCTCCTGAAGCCAGGACCAGATGGAGCTTCAGGCCCCCTAACGGCGACGGGTCGGTGTCTTCTCCTCTCTCATGGCCAGTGTCCTCAGCCCCCACGCCGGCCCCATGCCTGCCTCCACCCACGTTGCTCTCTGGTTCTCCTTTGGGTTTGCAAATAGGCACACTAGACCCTCGCATCCTCTCCTTTAAGGAATGAATTACTTTCTAAATCTAAATTACTGAATCATAAATCCAGTGCAGTGTATTCCCATGCTTTGCTTTTTTTCCTGCAAAATAATGTAATTTGCAGATCACTTACAGTGCCTGCACAGGCAGGATCTGTGGCCAACAATGTGGCAGTCACAGCAAATGGGGATTATCGGCCATCGGAGTCACGTCACCGAGGCCCCGGCCATTGTGAAGCCGGCAGCCGCAGAGGCAATTTAATAGCACATACTGCAAGGGCACATTATACTGTACACAATCCACCACTGTACAGTGAGGGCAGTGCCATCTAGTGCGACCCCATCCTGCCAGCACCTTATTGTGCTCTCAACAAACGGCCGAGTGTTGCAGGCAGCCCCAAAATGCTGCCTGATGAAAAGCCCTCAAATGGGAAATTCACATCCAGAGGCATAAAGATTTAAAACTTTTTTTTTTAATCTTAATATTCAACAACTGTAGTCTTTTCAACAAAGCAATGCCCTTTTATCCAAGCCCTGAAAGAAACGCAACCACCAATGTCTTTAATAATGCTCAAAAAAAACCACCAGTTGCACTCACTCTACAAATAGGAAATGACATAGCAAACATAGCAAACAAACCACATCTAATCCGGTTTCCATCATCACATTAAACCTTCAAACGTTTTTTCACAAGTTATGTTATATGGAGTCCAGTTTCAGTTGACATATTGATGGTACTATATGCACGAATTTGACTCAAAACATATTATCAAGAGAAACAGACTTACCTGAAAGTGCAAAATTATGGTCCATATCAATCCCAAAGTCAACTTGGGATTCCCGTCTGTTATGTCATCATTCCTAATGTTAACCAGTTTCACCTGCCATTGCAGAAAGAAATTACATTGACAAATGAAAAAAAAATGCCAAAATTATATACTGTACTACGGAGGCATGTCTCTAAAGGGAGCATTACTCACTTCCTAATCCTACCCTGTTATTTTTTTATTATCAAGAGCAGAAAGGAATTGAATTTGGGCCTTAAGCGGCCTGCCAGGAATCCCCCTCTCCTGCCCATCCCGAGCTTAGAAGATTCCTCAGGAGAAGATTCCTAGGTCAGTAGTTATGAACCCTTTGCCAAATACCCTCACTTTATGGCAAATAAAGGAAGGTATCACAGATGAAGGAAGGAGGACAAGAATATGAAAATCTGTAACTGTTGTGCCTTAGTCTCATGGTGATACCAAAATTCAGGAAGGTTAGCATTAGCCTCAGCTTTCCCTATACTGTCCTGTACTAAAGGGAGTTCAGCAACAGGAAAACCCATTAAAAAAACAACAGTCTGGCCTGATAAAACCGACAAACTCAACAATTTATTATCACCATTTAGACAACCAGTGTCATAATAATGACAATTATTATCACTGCTACTACTGTACTTGCCAATGACACCATAAACGCGTTGGGGTAACAGGCCTAAAACAAAGGCTGACACTTTTGTTGATCCAATAAAGTCAAATTCAGAGCAAGTTTAACAATTCTATCATCTTTGGCAGATTTTAGTATTGCATTTAATTTCTTTACATGCATTATTTATCTGTGTGGCGTAGCAATTAAAGATGGCTCAGATAAAAGGCACTTGTTGCTTATGCTAGTGAGGATATGGGTACATGTCTTCTTTTCCCCCACCCCACCCTTTCTTTTTAAAGATATACCCTGTTATCAACAGTGTGAAGGCATGTTCCCGTCTCAGTCTGCAGGCAATGCTTTAGAAAAAACACTCTCTGGAAGACAGAGAATATGCTACAGTTCACAAAAGAAAGGCAGATCCACATGCTTTCCTCACAGTGCATTACAAAAGACATTTGCTTTTGGCAGAGCTCTGCCAGACAGGCAGACAGGCTCCCTCTTTGCTGTCTTCTTTCCCTTACCACCAAATCAGCCCCTCCAACTCTCAATATATTGGGTCACTCCACCTTCAGTCACAACAAAGCCTCTGTATTGGAGGGCATGCAGATGAGTTAAGCAAGTTACCTCCTAAATATCCTTCATCATCCTTTTAATCCCTTTAAATATCCTTCCAAATATCCTTTATTATCCTGAGGAGTGAGAGGAGCCCTACGCCTCCCTCGGGCACCAGGCAGGAGCACCGTTCCTTGGTGGTCCCAGAGCCTCTCCCACACCCCGCTGGCGTCCTGCCAAGGGCCGCGGGCTGCTTGGCAGAACCCACTACAGCTGAGCAGGGCACAGATGAGCGCTCGCAAGAGCCCTCCATGCTCCAAGAGGCCCAACCCCTCCCAGGGTGGCCATGTAGGACGAGCCCTGCCGCCCCCACTGACCCATCTCCAGCATGACCGCGACGCGGGCCTGCACGTCCTGGGACTTGACAAGCAAGGGCTGTGGCACAGTGAAATTTCCAGGGCCTCCCGGCATGCCAACACCGGGGCAGCTGCCAGCTTCAGGAGCCAGCCACTTCCTCGTGGCGATTTTGTTGGATGGCTTCCTTTAAGGTAATGGGAAAGTTTCCTCTGGGCATAGGGAAGCAGGAGCAGCTCTCCGTGCACAGACATCAGTCCTTGACCAGATATTGCGAGTGGATTACAGACTGTAAGACAGATGTTTTGTAGACCAAAAAACCTGTGTGTTTTGCTACCTTATCTGTTTAGAGGATTTTGTTTGTTTGTTTTACATGTTAATATCGCCATTTTGCAAACAGAGGAAACAAAATCCCAATTAGTTTTTCAAGACAACTCAGATGATGAAATTAAATCCATGTCTTTCACAGCCCAGGTGACTGCACTGCCTTTCTACAGCACCAGTTTTGGTTTCATCAGAAGGATCAAGGCCTGAGGAAGACACTCTCCTCCCCCTCCCTGCCACAAACCATCAGAGTAAGCAACTGTATTTCCACTAGAAATTGTGTCAAAAAATATTTACTAGCTCTGAAATTAGTTGTTAGCTAGTACTGAAAGAACCCTAATCTACTTTAAAGCATTCCTGAGGCCCATTCCTGAGGCTCTTCCCCATGATTTTCTGCTCCTCAGCAACTCACACCACACGGAGTGTGTTTATATCACCACTCAGAAAAGGCATGAATGGGAGGTGCGACTGCTCCCGGCCGCCAGCATGGTCATCGGGGACTTGGGACCCCTGGCCCCAAGGGCACTAGCAGAAGTTGCTGCAGGGAATGGATCCTCATCCAGCTGTAGGGGCTGGACCAGGTCCCCTTTTGCCCAACAAACCCCCCATCACCGTCTCAACCCGGGCCCGTGTCAATAGCTAATTTGCAATGTATTTTACAGACAGGGATATTTAGGTTTATTAGGTGCTGGCAATGCATTTTTTATTAGTATTTTCTGTTAAATCTTCACCATACGTACCTGGCGTTTTTTCAAATAGTCAAGTGCAATTTGGACGTTCTGGAGTCTGTGAAAACGCATCCGACCTTTTTCTCGGGGCTAAAATTGGAAAAAAGTAGTTGTGAGGTCTTCCTGCCAAACAAACACTCTGATCTAAAAGATTATACATAAATATTTTAAGCATTACCATTTTACTGAAGCCAATGCTTTGGCAAAAAAAAAATCCCAAAACTCGGTGCTTTAGCTTCTTTTTTTTTTAAAAAACTTTAGTTGAAAGTTTTTAGCACAATAGAATGAAAGAGAGATCAATGGTCCCAAACCGCAGCTTTGATCCAGGAGGTAACTCTACCCCTGAAGGAAACTACTTAGGCCAGGAGAGCTAAAAGGGCCCACAAGAACCTACCTACAAAAGGCAAACTTCAGAATCAAAGCCAGGGACTAACAATACATTATTACAACTTTTACAGTGAATCAGGCAAAGTAAAATACAACTAATGACGTGGAAATATATGTTGTTCTGATAAGCTCTGTGATGAAAGAGCTCGCCTCTAAAAGTGAATAGAACTTTGCTTATTTGTGATATGCCTGCATAATCATTTTAATGTTTATTTAGGAACATCTTATAAAGGTAACACCTTCCTCCAAACAGAAATAATGTAACATATATATCCCTAGAGCGTAAGGTGAAACTCTTCACTCGGGTAGAAGCATTAAAGAAAAAAAAATCAAAAATAAATAAATAAATCATTTTCTCAAAGTGAAATCAAACTAGCAAGAAAAAGTAGAAAATGAGTAGTGGGTTAATGGAAACATGGCAAAACTGCATGCAGTTAGTGTAAAACCACCGAGAAGAAGGATCACACATAAGAGGAATATTTTACTTAGCTGTCATGGCTCAACAATGGGAAAGCAGTTAAATTAATGTCATCATAATAAAATCCAAATCCTTATAGTCTTCTTCCTTACTCCAGATTTTTCACAAACTTTCACAGCAATTAACAGAAGCATACTAGAACTGCTTGGGAGCAGCCACGAATATGGGATTTCCTCAGACAATCGCTGTGAAACACACAGATAAGCCAAAGTCTTCCTCAATTGACTTTTTTTTTTTCCCTGTGAAATATCATGTGTTTGCCAAAAGGAAACATGGGAAAATGTAGTTGAATAAGAAGCATAAATTAAAACACAAAGATGGAATTTTAATTTCCAGATTAGAACCTTGGATTTAGTTCTCTCTCCCTCTTTTTTTTTTTTCCTTTTTTTTTTTTAACACTGATAGGTCAGAATCAAGCTTTGCAGCCCTTGCTACAGAATATCTTCATGGATTGAAGAAAGGACTGCAGAACTAGAACTTATATTTTCCAAAACAAAGAGAGTACAATACATCCCAAATTGTCACAAAGTAAAGGTATAGGATCTCAGAGAGGAAATATTTTTTCCAACATACAGCTAAATTCAGTGTTTTGAGCTAGGTCATGCCTCAGAGAAAAAGCACATTCCACTGAAATCACATGTGGAGCCAAAAAAAAAAACGGGCCCTGTAACAAACCAAGTTGCTTTAGCAAACGCTGGTAATGCAAATTCTACAGAGGCATGAAACAACCTACTTGGACTAACACTTTATAAGCAGATATTTGCCTTCTAGATGATAGTAAAAATACAGTGAAACATAATGACAAATCAGCATTTGCTGCCAGAAAAATACACCCTGCAACAACAACAACAATCCATATGCATACTAGCCAAAGCACTATGCAGACTTGTCACGCACTGTTTTACATTGACTATTTGTTTTTAAAAAGTAAATATTACACCTGCACATCTAAATTACCTCATTCCAAAGTATTTTTGAATACACCAAGGATAGGACAGACTGGTGCTTCTAATTAAGACATATTTTTTATTTTACCATTGACTTCAGCAAGGAGTCCAGCTTCTGTTTATATTACCTGTACATGTGTAATGATGATTAAAAGTAAAAAATATTGGTTTAATTATTGTATTTTCATATTTATTATAAAAACAAACTGTTCCACAGTGTTTTGATAACATAGTCTTGTGTGCATTTGTGCCACAGTTTTGTACTGCATAAAGCAAACAGAAATCTTAAGCTTTTGCATTTAGCTATTTGCAAACAGTCTGAATAAAGATTTGTCTTTTCACACCTCCGTTACAAACACATATCCTGGTTTCAGCGTGACTTCTTTTGACCTTTCTATTGTAGATGACCAAGCTAGGAGTTTGCTTTGACATTAGCAGCCACCACACTGGAAACACTATGTTAGTACAGTTATGGGGGTCGGCACCTACCCCCTTATCCTCATCCTCCTCATCCTCATGCTGTTCATACGCGCATGCTTCTGTTGAACTCACCAACCGTAAGGTCTTCAAAAAATCTCGCTCTCTTGGCTAATGAATATAACAGACAAGAGACAGGACAGCAAAGACACAAGACAGACCACAAATGAAAAGAAGAGCATGAAAAGAAGAACATAATGGAGAGAACAAATACCAAGCAAGGGAAGTAATGCTCACAAAGAAAGGAAATGACACCTGAGGAGTGTGTTAGACAGTTTCAGGGACATTTTACCCTTGTTGTTTGTCAGTTATTCCCTTTAATGTGAAGGAATACTAAGCATTTAATAATTGTTAAAAGAAAAACCATAAAGAAAAGGGAAAAAAAAAAAAACAAAATAAAGCTTGCGCACTACCCTATTAAGACAGCAGTTCTCACTAACTACGAGAAAAGAAGAAAATACGACTGCATCCCCCCACAGGATTCATGGGGGAGTATTTTACCAACAGAAATACAACTTGGGTCTTCAATATCGAATCATGGATTGGGAATATCAAAGAAATTCCCAGTAGTCATGATCCAAAGAGTTAAAAAAGCAGAGTAAATGTATGTTTGACAACTGGATCACTGCATTCCAGTTTGAAAGCTTACCAAGGTGTCTCCAGAAAGGACTTCTAAAAGGGAGATCAAGTTATGTCCATCCCTTAGGTCTTCATACAAGTCATTCACATGTTTTCGAACCTGCAAAGGTAAACACGAAAATACAATTTAAGATCCTGCTTTATACCTGGGCATTTGCAGTCATATTATTAGAGATATCTTTTAATATTCATTCTCAAATACACCCCAATATGGCACTTGAAATGTACCTACCTTCATAACAAATTTGCCAACCTAAGCTAGTCATAATCATAAACAAAATTCACAACCTTGTCTGCACTCTCACAGCTTCATCACATTTTATTTCCTCTACTGAGAAGCAAAATATTTATATCTATAATAAATATTTATACACTTTTATTAATATAAAGTTAGAGGCAATGAATGGATACAGCAACCAAAAAGCAATCCTGATGATTTAAATAATGCTGTCTATTTTCAGCGAAATCACAGTCCCTTGTAGATGACCCCCGTCAAACCCGTGGGCAGGCTAGGCACAATGAACCGTGAGAAAAATATGCAGAACAAAATCCTGTCTCTATATATATATATATATATGTTATCCTCAGCATACAAGTTTACTGGAGTCAGGCCAAAAGCTAACACGCTTTCCGGCCTTAAATGCATTACTAACAAAAGCACGTCACCAACCAACAACAAAACAGTAAATGTTGGCTCCCTGTTGTTCCCATTAAAGCATCAGAGCAGAAATTTGCTAAATTCCCAGAGCATAAACTACAATATCAGAAATATCTTCTAAAGGTGTCGCCTCTAACTGGACACAGCCTGCACTTGAGATGAGACCTATGACAGTATATCCCAAAACATTTCTGTGTGTACAATGACAGCAGCAGGAAACAATCCAAACCTTTTCTTTATGCAATGGCTCAGTTTATCTGACTTTTGAGGGAATTTTTAGATCCATCCTCTTGAATAAATAACTATCTCTCTATCGGCGATTAACTTTACATCCATGTAGCTTTGCACACCCACATACAAACAAAAATAATTTAAATTCCAGATGGGATAAGCCCTATGCGCAATTAATTAAAAAAGATCCAAAAGAAAAACACTCTAGTAATATAGTTTTGTTGAGTTAAACAAAGAAACAGAAGTTCTCCTAGTATATATGCAATCGAAAAACAGGGAAGTCTAAAAGATACCATGTAAAGCCCTGATACCAGCTATGATTATACCAAATGCTTAAAAGATGAAAAGTGCAAAGATTTATTTTTTTCTGTAACCCAAAATAACTGTGACTTTTTACTTTTCAGTTCCAGGAACCGTGTCCCAGTGAATCATGTCAACTAAGGGCCGAGTTCTTTGCGAATGGAGCAGGTAGGTTCCCTTCCAACGAAATGTGGTGCCTCCCACCTCCAGGTCAGCCCGCTCCGGTTAAGGAAGGAGTAGTCCAAGCGAGAGCAGATCCGAAGGGAGCGGAGCAGCCAGAGGGAAGGGTGGATGGCAGGGGAGAGCAGAGGAAAGGCTTGTGCATCTAAAACATAGCGCTAGCACAGCTTAAAAACTGCCCGTGAGGCACACAAGTCGATACCAACAGGCTTTTCAACATACAACTCACGTGGGCTGCCCAGTCTGCAATCCCAAGACTGGTATTTGAACTGTGGAATGGGAAAATACTACAGTTTCCAGCCCATCTGTCTGTTATTTCCTCACTAGATACTGGACACTTCGCGGCGAGAGAGGATTTCCTCTTGCAGCCTGCCTCCCGCACCCTCACTGTGTTTACGTGTTCACCTCCTGCTCCTCCGCACACTCCGAGCTATCCCAGGTCTTCCTAAGAAAAACACTTCCCCCGGCTTATCCTTCTAGGTATCGCAGATGCCTCAGAGCTCAATCCAGACTGTTTGCAGAGAGAGCAGCTCAGAGCCACCAAACCACCAGCAAGCCTCGGATCGCTGTCCTAGCTCTGTCACAGACTGACATACATTATTTGGGACGCGCTGCTCCCGCATGCCACTGCAGGGATTACTAAGGAATTACTTCCACGGTCGCGTGGTAGCAAACGTGCATAAAGAGAGACATCTGGACAACTGATGTGCAGGTTCTCTCCACTACATTTTAAAAGGAGCATCTTGAGCTTGCCAAAAATCCTGGCAGGTCAGGCAAAGCTTGCAGATCCCTACCTCTCTGCTCCTACTAGGGCAGTTTTTGTCCCTCAACACAGACAACAAGTTCTTTGACAGCAACAAGTATTACCATTTTCTTGCCATTTTGCTGCCACATTCAGATTTCATCAGAGGCTGAGGCTCTGTGGGAGCTGTTGGAATTTTGTTACAAGTTTTCGTGGCTTTTCTCCCAAAGAGCAGAATTGTCAGCCCTATGTCCTGCCAGGTGCATGTGCAAAGCAGGCTACACGCTGCCTTAGGCAACTTTGTGCAACACTCATGGGAGTGTGGGAGACTCCATAATTCGGGTGTGACAAGAAATTATCTGGGGAAGATGTGGGAAGGTGTTCAGCAGTGGAGAGGGGGAATCCAACAAGACAAGAACAGCTTCAGCAGTCAAAAGAAGACAGGGAAGAGCTCTGTTTAAGGCTCCGTTTCAGGGGTGATTCATCTTTTGATCTTCCTCTTCTGGCATATGCTGGTTATAGCAAGCCAAAGTCCATCCCCCTTGATATGAGCATCAGTTATTTTCATGTCATACATCCCCAATAAGCTTGGCACTTTGGTACACACTAATGCTATGGCACAGTATGTTAAACCTTAGTACCTAAAATGCAAAGCTTTGAGAACATTCGGGAATTAAATTCTGGATTGAAATAGCCTAAGGAGGAAAGGAAATAAAGATTAATGTGCTGCAGAATCTTGTGTCAGGGCATGTGGAAGCCTGTGAAAGGCTGCAATCAGATAAGGCAGGAAGAGCTAAAAGCAACTCCCATGTACCAAAGAACTGGGACTCCTCACGGAAGTGACAGAGTTATGGTGATCCTGGTAGCGTGGAATCAAGATACGTTTTGGGGCGCACACACTTGCAAGCTTATCAGTTTTTATAGAGAAAGAGATGGCAGACTATTGTAACCATATGTTTCCCTCAAAATATCATGATTTTCCTTATCCTTGTTATAGGTAAACAGAACTCATCAACCCCGATCTTTTCGTACAGTTTTCAGAACAGGAAACTGTTCTGGAGAATGAGAGTATTAGAA